CAAAATATTGGAATTTGAAATTGAAAATTTTTATTTTAGAGGAAAAATTTAACAAGCAAAATTATATTGTACATGCTAGGTCATCACTAGAGGCGAAAGAGAAGGTTTCAACGAGGCCACCAGCCTGCGCAAGTAATGGTTTGGTGGGGTGTTTCATGGCATGGTGTTACAGAGATCCATTTCTGTGAGAAAGGGGTTATAACTGGGGCTCGTGTTTATCAGACAACTGTCTTAGACCCTATATTAAGGCATCTTAATAGTACATTGTTCAAAGGAATCGATTGGGTATTTCAACAGTATGCCGCACCTGGCCATAAGGTAAAAACGACACAACATTGGCTTGAAAACAGTGTTCCAAATTTCATTAAGGCATCTGATTGGCCTTCCGCAAGCCCGGACATAAGCCCACTCGATTGTGGTTTATGGAGCATTTTAGAGTAGAGAGCGTGTAAAAAACGACACATAAATTTGGAGTCGCTCAAACGAAGCATTGTGAAGGCAGTGGCAGAAATTCCGTTAGAAACGATTCGTACGTGTATTGAACAGAGGCCGGAACGTTGACGTCGTTGTATTGAAAATGTAGGGGGACATTTTGAATAATTTATGAATGGTTAAAAATTAAAATTGTAATTAGTTATGCTATTCAAATATATTTATAAAATATTAAAATTTATAAAATTTTTATACAACTTGTTTTTCTTAAGAATAATATACGTTCGAAGTACTGACAGTATTTATATGTCCAGAGTCTAGACTAGGTATTATTTATTTTTAAACTTTTGGTTTGTGACCTAACATTTCTAATACTAATATATTTCGCAGAACCAGCTAAGTTGAAAGCGGTTAAACCCTTTTGTACTGCCATTATTACAACAACAAAATACACAACTTCACTTTCCAAAATCTTGAATATTGAAGAGTATTTTGAACAAAAAGTAGAAGAAAATTAAATATTTTGTTAAATCATTTTAAGATAAATATAAATTAAACTGTATAGTATAACATTACACCACATTATATTGTATTAACACTATTCTAATTATAATTACATACCTACCATAACCTATTTTAAATACTAATATATATTTTAGATTCTTAATGGAACGATGAATGTATTGATTTTACAAAGACGTGTATTTTTTTTTTGTGTCTGTCATCACCATTTTTGACAGTAAAAGTGCTTGGATTTTTTTCAACAGTATCTTTTCTGATATTAAAGTGAATCTAGTAGGCGCAGTGAAAAACAAAAGAAAAATTAAAGAAAAACGGGAATTTTTACTCAAAATCTGTTTTCGATAAAATCGATTTTGGTTTTTGGTGTAAATTAAACTGTATAGTATAACATTACATCACATTATATTGTATTAACAATATTCTAATTATAATTACATACTACTATAATGACTCATACTAAAATAAATACAATATTTTTGGCAAAACATAATTCAACATTATATATTGTATATTAATAATATTAGGTACTTACCTATTTTAAATATTAATAAATATTTTAGATTCTGAGTGGAACGATGGAATGTATTGATTTTACAATGATGTGTGTTTTTTTTTTTTTTTTATTTTTTTTTTTTTTTTTGTGTCCGACATCACCTTTTAGGACAGTAAAGTGCTTGTATTTTCTTCAACAGTATCTTTTCTGATAGGAAAGTGAATCTAGTTGGTACTTTTGGGGGTCAAAAGTAAAAATTTCCCAATAGTTTTTAAAAGCGCAGTGAAAAACAAAAGAAAAATTAAGGAAAAACGGGAATTTTTACTCAAAATCTGTTTTCGAGAAAATCGATTTTGGTTTTTGGTGTAACTTTAAAACAAATGACAGTAGATAAGTGAAATTTTCACGGTTACCAAAAAATCTAAAAATTACAGTTTATTTTTATAGTCATTTTAAGTTCAAATTTGGATGAAATTACATAAAAAAAACCTAGAATAACTATTTTATTTATTTCATTGTGATTGTATAATATTATTCGTGGGTACTTGAAATTTCAAAAGTAGGTACCTACACTATTATATATCTATGATAGTATCAGAGTTTGTTGTTGATGTATAAGTGTATAACGCGTTATAAGTTAAAGTACCTAATGGATATTGTGATATGATTAATTTGGAATTTATTATAGGTACCTATTATAGGTCAATTTTTTTTAATACCTAATATAGATAAGTGTATAATACACCTTATACCTAGACTGACATACCGTCTACGCTCAGAATCGTTTTTCTTATACCATGATATTATATCATTGAATTCAAAATATGTAATACTATATTATCGTCGTAACAGTAGTAATCTATTAACTCAAAATGTCAAAAAAAAAATATTTAAGTGGTTTATTTAAAAAATTTGAATTTAAAATGTCTGTAAAAAATATCTGTGTTCATATATTTTTTAGATTTTTTGGTTACAGTATGAACTATTTATGAGAACCTTTGCTTTAAATTTGTAATCCTTACCTATTAAAACTGAACATTTTATAATTTATTAATTACAATGATTGATAATTTTCGATTAATTTTGATAAATTTTGTCAAAATTCGATCTTTAAATGCTTATAAAAAAAAACTGTGACTAAAGATTTTTAATATTTTTCATCTGCCTTTGAAATAATATACTAGGAGCCTTCTATTACATTTCAAGCTTTATTAACCAACAAATAAAATATTAATGATATTTTTAGAAAAAAAAAAATTTTAAAAATGAAAATGTCCCTAAACAGTTCAAAATAATTCAAAATGTTATCGTGTATAGAAAATGCAAATATAAACAACCAGTGAAAATTGCATGTATCTACGGTCATTTACCAAAATCGATTTTCTCGAAAACAGATTTAGTGTAAAAATTCCCGTTTTTCATTCATTTTTATTTTATTTTTCTTTGTGCTTTTGAAATTTACTGGGAATTTTAAATTTTGACCTCCAAAATGCACCAACGATATTCACTTTCCAATCGAACAAAATACTGAGGTTGAATATCGAAGCATTATTTCGACTACTATCGTGTACACAGACAAAAAAAAAACACACATTGTAAAATCAATACATTCATCGTTCCACTCAGAATCTAAAAAACCTAGAATAACTATTTTAGTCTTAGATTTAAAAAGAAAAATGTTTAGGAATTTCTAATTCAAAATAATTTGCATATTTTCGTAATTTTGACGCTTTTTGTCAATATTTGAACTTAAAAGTTACAAAAAAAAATTGTGACCTACTATTATTCAAATGTCATTGAAAAAATATATTATTAAGAGTCTTGTAATAAATCTTCAAGCTTTTTTACCCAACAAATAAAATTTAAAAAATTGGAAACTGAAAATGTCCGTAATCAGTTCAAAACAAATCAATATTTTTTGAAAATTTTATTGTGTATAGAAAATGCTAATATAAACAACCAGTGAAAATGTCATGTATCTACGGTTGTCATAGACCATTATAATTTGTTTTGCCCGACACGGAATTTGTTTTAGTGTTATATATTTTGTCGAAAACCATTTATGCGTAAATGTTCACGTTTTTCCTTAATTTGTCTTTTCTTTTTTCCTGCGTTTTCGAAAAGTATTAGGAATTTTATACTTTAGTACAAAAGTACCAACTGGATTCACTTTCCTATCAGAAAAGATACCGTTGAAGAATATCCAAGCATTTTTACTGTCCTAAAAAATGATGACACATAGAAAAAAATAAAAATATGCAGTGAAACTTGCATACTACAAAGTCTCATGCATCATAAAAAAAATTGTTATTATAGAGAATATTTTCGTTAAATAAAATTGAATAAATTTGATTCTAATTTTGTTTGATTTACAAAAATATTTTGTTAAACAGAAAATGTTGTTAAATGGAAGTTTTACTGCAATATAAATGGAACAAAATGTTAGAATATTATAACGTATATAAATATTTTAAAAACGTTAATTTTTTTTTTTTTAATTTAATATTTAAATATTCGAATAACTGTTGTGATTAAAAAGAGATTGAAATTTTAAACAATTTAAAAAAAAATTTTGAATGAATTATAGGGGTAAGCATGCTTTATAAATCACCGTATATAATATTTATCCTAAATATTGCTTATAGCCTAACCTAACCTAACTTCTTAAAAACCAAACTTTTTGAAATCCTTTGGGAAATTCTTGTAGCTTATCATTATATTATGTATACAATATGAGAATAAAGAATTCACAATGTCGCCAGAACTAGTCAATCAGTAGGTTCTTTTGTCCAATAATTTCAACTCAATTGATGCATCTATAATAAAACTATAAAAGTTGATACATAGGTATAGCTATTATTGTTATCTGTCTTTCTATCTGATTGCTTTTTGTGCTATTATCTTTATCTCTACTGTTGTTTGCATTAATTAACCAGTTTAATTCAGTATGTACTCAAGCATAGCTGTATTATTTTAATACCTGTCTATATGGAACAATAAAATAAAAGTAAAAGATATTATTTATAATAATAACATAACACTAATAACAAAACACTTTACTCTTTAGTCATTAACAGCTAATAAAAAGTGTGGTTTACCTGGTAGGTACATATTTATTATTTAGAAAAATATATTTTATAAACAAAATAACCTTATATTGTATACCACTTGCATACATAAAATCCATTAGGTATTATAGTTAGTATTAAGTATAATAAGTATATCCTAACAAAAAAATATTGAAATAAAATCTATGGCAACAATGAACTTATCAATCATCTGAATATAAATAAAAAGGCAAAAAAATTCTATAGTTAAAATACATAACTTATATACTTAATAAAATTAAATAACATAAAATTCAAAAATTTGGGCTTTTTGGGAAACAAATTAATATAAATATAATTAATACTACTTAAATAAGAAAAAAAAATTTAATTTAAATTCGAACTTAAGTATAGAAAATAAATAAATTTCTCTTTTTGTCAGTTAGGTATTTTTGCAGGAACAAATTTTTTGAAATTCTGATGACCAAACAAACAGCATTATGTATTCATGTATTCCATCCAAATGTCACGTGAGTAACAAGTAAATACACAGTAGCAATAACTACGCTACCTAACATCACTGGGTATCCAACTCTAATAATAAAAGACAATTCAAAGGCAATCATTAAAATATTGAGTGGACACAAGTTTGCATTATAAAGTTTATATTAAGGGGATTCATAACCACCATAAAAAGTTCAACAAGGGAAATTTTTTAAAAGTGCATAAGTACATATCATGTTAATGTGTGTACAGCAACTAGCAAGTAATAATTTGTGTGAAAGTGAAGTTTTAAAAATATATATGGTTCTCCCATACATGTCACCAATCTGTGGTCAACGAGTAATATTTTTTACTAAAAAGCGTGTACTTTTTATCCATGGTACAGAATAAACTAGTAATGCAATGAGAAATCTGAAAACATTTTTCAATTGATTATGAAGTTAACATAAACTCACTGTTTAAAGTTCTTTGATTTTTACATTTTTAAATCAAACCAAGAGGATGAATAAAAGGCAACATTTTGAATGAGGAGTAATCAAGCTACAGGTATTAGATAAATTGCATAACACATTCAAACATATTTCCAGATTTCTTATTGACCATTTTATTACTTGTTTCTTATGTATAAATTATAATGGACAAAATATATTAATGTACTAGTAAAAGAAAATAGTTGGCTAAGTTCTTAAGAGGATTTGGCTAAGAGAACAGAGTTTTGTCAGTCTTACAAACACATGTTAACATTTAACATGGTAAATTTTAGTTCAGCAGAATTAGTTTTGAATTGTTAGCTTTTTAATATTAGAGTGAATTTACCTATTATCAAACTCTAAGTTAAAACCCCTATTTGCACGCTTCATTTTCAGTTTTTATTTTAAAATATTTTAATTTTTAAATAAAATTATCAACTTTAAAATGCAACAAATAAGTTACTAATAGCTTACTTAACAATTGAAATATTGTAAAAACCATTTTTATTTAAATTATTTAATTTAATTATTAATGTTTTTAAGTGAGTTATGAGCATTTTTAATTCACTTTTAATTTACACGCATAACCCACTTAAAAACTGAATTATTGTAAAAAAAACTTCCAACAAAACACAGATAATGTTCTTACCATTAAGTCATAATAGGTTTATTCACTCAAATTTTTAAGCTAACGGAATAAAACGTGAACTTCTGAGCGTAAATTTGGTATTTTACACTTTTGTAAGACGGTCAATGTCAGGAAAAAATGAAATGAGTATATTGTATATTATCCTACATTATATATTGATGTCTAAACTGACTCTCTAAAAACAATCAAAAATACTCTAAACTGATTAAATAAAACATTAAAATGGATAGTTACTTGAAGAACTGCACAAAGGACATTCGGTATCCATGTTGCTCAGCTACTCCAGCACATACCATATTACATGAAGCAGCTATCAGTGTTCCATTACCTAAAAATTAAAATATATATTTGATTCAATTAATTGTTTTGTGTGAAAGAAATATGTATTAAATCCTTACCACCAAGACAACCACCAAATGCTAATGCATATACCAAAGGCGGTAATGGTAATTCCAGCTCAGGGTTTTGAGACAACGATGTTATCACCTTTATCATCATAGTAGTCAGTGGAATATTGTCAACAAATGAGGAGACAATGGTAGAAACCCATAGAATTAAAATTATAGCAACGGACAATCGGTACTCTTTCGCCACAGACATAATTATCACTTCTGTCTGTTTACCTACCCATTCAATCAAACCCAGCTCAGATAGTGCCTAAAAAATAACAAAAATAATTATAATTTGTTTTCTATATTTTTTCTGTTGCACTACATTACTCCAATTAATATAAACAGTGCAGCAAAGAATGACAATGTGGCCCATTCAATTCGGCCCAATACGCATTCGATATCAACATGATCAGCAAGTATAAGTAAGAGTAATGTTCCAAGTAAAGCAATCCACCCAAGACTAAGATTTAGTTGAGGGAATGAATGCAGGCAGAATAGAGTAATAACAAATCCTAATGTAATAGCACATTTCCATAAAAGACTTTTATCTAAAGGACTATCCTGAAAAAAGTGATAACATTACATATTAATTTTAATTTTAATTAAATAATAGTACCTAATGTAATCACTATTCATATTACCTTATTCAAAAAATCCTTGATGGATTCATCATAGGATTGGAGTCTGAAAATTATACAATAAGTATTAATTTAACTCATAAAATAAAACAAATTCATATATTATAAAGGGTGATCCACCAATCATGTTTATCCTCTTTTTATTCAATAATGCAGTTATTCAAAATCTGATTTTTAAAATTTTTAAATAGGTAGGTATACTTAAAGACTATGTATCTACATTTTTGAGAATTGTACGCTACTTAAGAAATGTCTTATGGAGATTCAAACTTATGTTTTTCAAATGAAAACTCCCCTTCCATTTTCAACTGTAATTATTCAGTTGATTATTTACCTAAAAAATTTGAAATATTAGTATCAACATTTTTAGGAGTAGTTTTTGAGTTATTTAACTTTGTTTTCTGAGAATAAAAGTCCATGGTAATAGGTTTATAAGATATGGGGGCTAAAATGATTTGAAATTTTTTGAGAAATTATTATTTATCTATAAACATTAATTATTTGTAAGATTAAGTATAATAAAATATACAAGTTCCAATATTATGTCTATTTTATATTTTTTTTAAAACCATTCTTAGGGACATTATACTTAGTACAAACATTTTAATAACTAAGAAACTACTAATTTAAATATTGAATTAGATATATCAACATTTTCAAAAAATTGACCACTAAATAATTTACAGTATAAAAGGGGGTTGTTATATGAAAAACAGAATTATGTTTTGCAACAGGATACTCTTTAACTAGAACAAAAAATTAAACAATTGAGTAAATTAAAAAATTCCAATAATTAGAATTTGAATAAATTCATTATAAAAGAAAGTGAGCATGTTTGGTGAATCAGCCGCCCTGTATATCAAATTGGAGCATTTGAAATTATATTCTGAAAAGGAATTTGATACCTAGTTATAAAGAACAAACTCTAGTTAGGCCATTAAAAATAACAATGTACTTATTGGAGTGTGCAGAGGAGAGGCCGGTTGTGTATGGGCACCTTCTGACATTTTGTATTTAGGGCCCTAAAAGTTAAGCCCTTAAACCAGGAACAAGTATTTTAGCTGTTATTACTAAATAAAAAGTAATTTTTACTAAATTAGGTGATAAAAAAAATTATTAATTATTTTAGGTTATTATACCTAATAATTTAATTAATATATGACATTTTATATCTATGTGTAAAAACTATATTTTTTAATAGGAGAAGATTACTTATGTACCAAAATTACTAATAACTTAATTGACTCCATAAACCAAAACTGTTTTTTATCATTCAATTCTAGTACTTATACACAGAACAAGAAATTACGATAGTAATAACCTAATTCAATAATTTATGCACCTAACTTAATACTATAGTTATATATTATAAAATATTTGGAGAAGGCTTAATTAATAACATTCATATGTACCTTTCTGTAGGTAAGACATCAACCTTGAAACCTTTAAGAGTATCTTTAAGTTTTGAAAATATAGTTTTACATTTCCTTAGAAGTTTATCTCTTACAACCCCTTCTTCTTTTGAGTATGAAGACAAAGAAGATGCCGCTTTTTGCCAAATTGCCAATTCTTGTCTTAATTCTATAAAATAGTAGGATTTAGCACCAATTTAAATATTATTTTAGATTCTGAGTGAAGAAATTCATTTAATACAGAAATCTTATAAAATTTTCAATGGACAATTTAACCATACATTTTTTTTAAAAATAATTTTATAGTAGAATTTTTATATTTTATTACCTACTAATAATAAAATATTAAGATAAGAAGGGATTATAGGTAATCTTATGATAGAAAAATAAAGAAAGTTTTAATAATGCTTGATATGATAATCTTAGCTAAACTTAGTAATTATTACTGTATTTATTATTAAGTATTTACTATAGGAGATAATATGTAGGTATATAACTAATTTGCTTGTACACATACATTTATAAAATATTTAATATTTTTCTATGAAAGAATATTATCAATTAAATTAGAAAACAATTTACATATAACATATAATAAATGTAACATTTTTAAAAAAAAGTAGAATTGTAATATTATATTATAGCAAAAATAAAATATTTAATAAAATTGTTTTAAATACCTGTAACATTAGATGGTTCAGTAAATTTTAAATCTTGCATATTACGGTAAATAAACCTTAAATGTAGATTTACAGCTATAAATATGAAAACCAAACCACCACCCATATGTAATGAAAACGTTGTAAAATCGATTCCCTGTAAAAAAAAAATAAAACATGTTATATTATTATTATTATTATTATTATTATTATTATTATATGTGATAGAACAATAGGTAGAACGTTGATATCTCATGGGCAACCGTTTGCATCACCCCCATTAATATATTGCACACAGCATAATAAAAATATGGCATTTTTCACAATATATACTAGAACTAAAATGTATCATAGAACATGATGTAGTTCACAGATTTCTATACCTACTATTCTAGGTTAGAAACTGAATAAAACTAACACATAATAATAGAAACTCGTCCGCCATATTTTGGGTTGGAAAACTTTGCATGCAAATTAAAACGATTAAAGTAGCAATATAGCCTATAGGTAATGAAATACCCAAAATACACATAATATTTACACATCCACAGCAATTTTCTAAACCAGAAAATACTGGAACAAAATTCATTTAATGACACAAATTGTTTATCTAGTGTTAACCTGTGGTACACCTATATAAGTCTGTAAAGTGATCATACCTAGTTTTTTTTATCATGATATTATCATTTTAAATCAATAGGTATTTAATATTTATCAATAATAGTAATGTAAAGAGTATACTCACACTTGCAATAACATCTTTATTCGTTCCAATTATCACATTTGGTGGATCGCCAATTAATGTTAAAGCCCCTCCTAAGTTTGCATAAAATATTATACACATAAGTGTGGGTACTGGATTCATTTGCATTACTTCACATAACCTAAGACAATATTTTTATTTAACTGTTGACATCCATGGATTGTAATGAGCAGACCAAAAAAAATATGGTGTGAAATGACAACACATGATTATATTAAGATACATTATTAAAATGGTATGTTCATTAAAATTATTACCTTATAGTTATAGGTGTCATTAGAAGAACGGTCGTAACATTATCCAATATAGAAGATACAATAGCAGTAAAGAAGCACAATGTATTGATTAATGGCCAAATTTTACCTTTAGTTTCCTATCATAAAATCAATAATGAGCTTGGTAAATTAACACTACACTTAAATCACTTAAATCGAAAAACACTTAAATCGATCACCATGTATACACATAAAAATAAATTATTTAGTATTTGTATTAATACTTTGTATGCCACGATTGCCAAGTAGTCAAAAATTCCCGTTTCGGATAAAATACCAACAATAACCATCATACAGAAAAGGAGAAGCAATGTTTCGATATCCACCCAAGAGGACAGTTCATCTTTTGTTGGTCTCTATATAACATAATTAATAACACCAGAATTAGTAATGATATTTTGAATTAATTATTTAAATTTGTTTACCTCATCTAAAAGTGCTAGTATGGAAATGGACGTAGTGGCTGCTAATATTGCTGCAATCGATTTGTGTATAACCTACAATTCATAAATATTCATATTATTTCTTGAAGTGGGAATGTATAAAACAGAAATTTTAAGAGGAAAATGAAAAAGATTTATATCAGTAGTATGTTAGGACCAACATGAGAATAAAACAGGCTTGTTAGAAGAACAATTAACTTTATAAAACAATATTTGAATTGGTTCTTACCTCAGTTATAATTAGTACATAAAGTCCAATCAATACAAGAGCAGCGTAAATTATACCATATTCTGTGTTGATTGGAAACAAATCATAAGTGAACGAAATAGGAAAATTAGTGCTCAATGTAGTGTTCATACAAAGTCTAGTATCGCCACGGAGAGTAACACTAAAAAAAAAATCAAATTATTAACAATCAAAACCAATTTATAAAAATATTCAACTAATCTTACTTTGAAAACAATTTAAAAATTTTATTATGATGCATTTCAGGAACAACTTCAACAAGTGATTCACTCACAATTGGTATGGACCATATTTGAGTTATATTCTTTTAAAAACAAAATATAATCATAAGAACTAATAGGTAAGTACATTTTATTTTACAGATTTTCTTATCCCATATTTTTGTATCAAGTATAAATACTATTTGTAGTTTATACTTTATAACAATGTTAAAATATCTACCATTTTAATAAAACATACCCTTTGATGCATGTCTTCATACTTCAATCCTAACTTTGAGGGCATATCATATTCTTCAGTCGGATCAAACTCTATCCAAATGTTAAAAAAATGTGTTGCCAAAGTACTATAATAATCAGGCATAAATGCTCCAGCCAATATCAATTGTATTTTATTTGTGTTAGGCATATGGTTTTTGTATATTATCTGAGCTAAAATACAAAATCTTTGATAATTTTTTTCTTAGCTAAGTATAAGTATATTTTATAAGTCATAAAATTATATATGTTCATTACTTTTAGTTTCATTTGGAGCTAATGTTACTTGATGGACATCATCTACTTTTCTTTCTTGTTTTGCCATAAGAACTATCTGCAAGACAATAATGAATAATAAAATAGAACTACACCAAATAAATATGGATTAAGGACTCAATAGGCTGTAGTCCTTGGGAGTAGTTGGAACAGGGGCATAACTTTGAATTAAGAAAACTTTTGACTTTTTATAATTATAGACTGTCTATAAACTTAAATATCATAATTAAATTATAGACAAATAAAATATGTATTAAGTAAAAATACATGATAAACAATAAAAACATAGATTCTAGTGGACTCTTTCTACATATTATGAGCCACAAGCTATATTTTAAGTTAGTACCTACAGTTAATACAGAGCTAACTTCAGAATAAAACAAATAGCTTACGGTACAAAAGAGCCAAATACATATGAGAACGATAGAAACTGTATATTTACGGCCAGACGTTTTTTTCGCATGCAAAAAGTTATGCGCCGATGTCCTATTATAAACAAAAAATAATAACATGATACTTATAAATTATAAAATCAAACATAATATTACCAACACTAGGTAGGTACGTACTTTTCACACGAAGATTTGGATGTGGTCGACTTCAGAGATGATGGTTCTAATTCGCCCGAGGTCATAGCTACTGTAGACGATGGACCGGCAGAAGGATCGTCAATAAACCTTGAAAACATTAATATTAATAGTTATTTATTATAGCTGCTACAGATCTGATTGAGCTTTGGAATTTCCTTGTTTCGTTTAGATTCCATCAATATACCTAGGTATTTAGTCGATTTTGAAATTAAATTTTAAAATAAAACCCCACCAATGTTTACCTAATAAGTTTAAACTAGTAAATTCATACCTCTGATACATATTGCGACGAGAATTTGAGATTATTTTCAACTCTGAACGGACGATGAACTCCTATTTTTCAGCGACGGTCAAAACGCAGAAATAACAATAATTACAACTTATATTATTATTATTATTATTGTGTTATGATCATGCGTGGGTAAAACAATTAAAAAAGTGTGCGTTTGTTTTAGATAATTCGTCACGCATTACAATAGCAATAATACGTTTTTATTTGTGAAAGCGATGTACAAACTGAAAGTGAGACGAGTAAAATATATTAATCATGTGTGTGCTCGATCGGATTAATATTATTTATCGGCCGGTGCAGTATAGATGGCTGTTGGATATTAAATTGCGAAAACAAAATACGATTTAAACCACGCGTAGGTATACAATTTGATAAGTGTAACAGTTACAATAGTTTCGGTTTTAAAGATAAAATAGGCAATAATTATTGCGATACGAATATTCCGATATGATTCACCAGAAGACTGCAGATTATGTAATATCGCCGAAAATAATTATTATTACCCGTACCATAGTCCACGACTGTATTTGACACCTCACAGGCGGCAACTCGGCAGTCGGCAACTGGCAAACTGCACTCAACAAGTTGGCGATACATTTCGCTATAATCATGTGACAGCCGACAGGTAGGTATTCGGAAAAAAATATAGAACATACCTATGACAATTTTTTTTTTCCCGTAATTGACTACCTATTGACGCGCGTTTCAGTGCCACTAATGTCAAATTGTCAACCACACAATAATAATATTGTTATTTGATATTATACTACCAGCTATAGTATAATATAGTACTTACAAAATAAAACTACCACCAATAACTATCATACGAAAGTGTAACCATAACGCTTCAGCGTTAGGTAAGTAGGTATATTATACTTATATTGTTATAATTATTATTGTTGTCATTCACAACAAGTGTATAATAAATAATAATACGTACCGATATGATATTATAATGTACTCATTGTACTCGCGTCACTCACGCAGTCACATATTACAATATTTTACCTCGATAGAGGAAGCATTAGGAGAACACAGCACACATTTGATCCATATAGCTTCTTCAAATCCATTAGCATCGACACAAAAATTGAATATTGAGATAAAACTGTACTACTAACAAAAAAAAAAATGTAAATATATAAAACTGTAAAATCTACTTATCCCTTAGCCATGTAATCAACAATAATAACTATAAATTATCCTTTAATAATAATGTTAACACAACCGCGAGCTAATGACCTAGTTGTTGAAGCCGTTAATCTTAATAAAAATAAATAAATTAATTAATATTTCTGCGTGGTTGAGCTTCCAAATTATACCCACCCTATATATAATATAATATAATAATATAATAATTAATAGCATAATATTGTCGACAGCGTGTATGTATATTTATTATTTACGATAGAGTGAGTGAGAAACAATTAATAACAACGTATGTTTCCCGTACATATTACGACTATTACTGATAAAATATACGTACCTATTTCTATCGTTAGTTAGTGCCTATAGTCACTCACTGTTTGAACAGATGGTCAGCCGGTGGGGCCCGTGTTAAACAGCCGCCAGTCAAATTTCGAAGCGAAACAATAAAAATTTAAAAATTGCAATAACTTTTAAATACTTCATATTATAGTAGGTAGCATATAAGTGTCGTACCATCGCTGTCGATATTTACGTCAAGGTATAGTAAAAGCGCAGATGTCCACACTATACACTATAAAACCCATTAGAGCTTTAAGTCACTATACAGGCCAGTGGCCTCAGCAGAAGTCGATAGGTTATAGTCAACAAAACTTAATATTAAAACGTAGTAACCGCATATGTTATCTCCATCTGGGCGTCTTGACTAATGCACAACACATTAACGATTCAAATTTAAAGCAAGTCATCATCATTTTATAAAATGTACAAATAATTTACTGTTTTAAAATACTCATAACTTGCTTTCAAATTGAAATATAAAAAAAAACTTCCACCATCGACTAGATTATATACTAACTTCTAAATGTTGTTATAGGTCAATTCACTCTAAAATTAAACACAATAGAGTTAAATGAATTATTTAGAACGTACAATTTGCTATATTATGTAAGCTATAGTATGTTTGTAACTTACAAATTGTAAGACGGAGATAAGGCATGCTGGTAACATACCAAAATTTAAGTTTTCAATTTTGTGTTGTTAGCTTAGAGTAAATTAACCTATTTTCAAACTTAAAGGTAAAAACATTTAAACGTTATCTATTTTCTCCCGTTGGTTTTTTCGATATTTTAATTTTTAAGTGTCGGTGTGTAAATTATTAAAATTTAAAAATGCTCATAACTAACTTGAAAATATTTTTAAAACCAACTACTAAACACAAATAATATGTTTTTACCTTTAAGTTTGTTAATAGATCTATTCACTCTAATATTAAATCTATAAGAACACAAAATTGGAATTGCTGAACTCAAATTTGCTATGTTACCCAAGGGTAAGACAACATAATTATATTATACTAGTGTTACAACCTATTAATTGTGGGTCAGATGAAAAAATAAAAACCTTGTCTCTTAAGTTAACTTAATCTTATTTATATTTTTATCAGAGATTTCAAAATTGGAAATATTTCAATATCCAAGTACTCACGTCCCACACCCACACAGTAAAGTGAATAAGTACATAACATTTATTTATTTTTAAATTTACAACTTACTATTTTTAAATTTAAAGAAAAATTTTAACAATTTTCATAACATTAAATTATAAATAAAGGTATTTATAATTTAATGCCTGTATAAATACCTGTATAAATTGTATAAGCAACCTACAGCCTACAGAGTACAGGTGAATTCAAAGTCGTTTCAGAGAAGGGACCAATCATTAAGTATAAAAGTTGAGCATTTTATACATTTTTACCTACAAAACCATTTGTAAATTTTTAATTTGATAAATGTTGTCAAAATTCGAAATATAAATGCTTATAAAAAAATGTGTGCCTAATGCCTATATATTTTTAATACTTTCAACTGCTGTTGTAACAATATAATATCAGTGTAGCTATTGTAACAATGTGTGACAAGCCTTCAGTCTTGTATTATATTTTCACGCATTTTGACCCAACGAATAACATTTAGTTGACGTTTATAGAAAAACAAAATTTCAAAAATTTCAAATTAAAAATGTCAATAAACAAAATGAGACAAAATATTTTGAAAATTTTACCAAGTATAGGAATTAATAAAATAAACATATTATGGTGTAAGTTTCAAGTAACCACAGTTATTCGTTTTTGAATTACAGCAAAATAAGAAAAACGCTACGTGAGAAATGGAGTGAATAGGTATCCAATATTGTGAAAATATGAACTTCAAACGTTCATAAAAATTTAATTTAACTTTCTTGTAGACATTTTTTTTTTTTGATAAATGTAGACAAATTTATGAGGAATCTTGTATTACATTTTCATTTTAGGTTTAAAAAGATAAATTTTTATGAATTTCTAACTCAGAATAATTTGCACACTTTCGTGATTTCTACGTATTTTGTCAAAATTCTAACTTTAAATGCATATAAAAAATTGTAAATGTATTTTTAATATTTTTCAATCGTCCTTTTACTAAATTTTCAAACTTTTTGAAACAACAAATAAAATTTAATTTACATTTATAGAAATAAAATTGAAAATTTCCTTAAGCCCCTCAAAACAAGTCAAAATATTTTGATGTTGTATAGAAAATGATAATATAAAATATATTCATTGAAAATGTCATGTGTCTACTATTATAAGCGTTGGTGCCCGACGCGGCATTACAGCGATTCTCGGAAACACGCACTAATGTTCATTTACTCACACATAGACATATTATCCCAAATATTCATGTCATTAAATTGCCTACATATTACTCCTTAAAACATGATACGGTGGAGTCCCTTTAATTTTAGATCCTGAACATAATAATAATTAATAATAATAAGAGCATTATTTGATTATAAGTTATAACACTTGTACCGCTTGTTCATTATATTATCATAAATATCATTAATAGGTATAATGTAATGATTTAAGCGATTCGATACCAAGAATATGTACAGTATTTCGACAAAGTATAGGCTTTAGGTAAACCAGGTAATACGTATATAACAATCGGCTTTTATTTAAATATAACTAAAATTACCACTACAGTGAAACTATGTGAAATGTTGGCTATAATACATATACATTTATCGGCATATTATTTGTTTTTTTTTTATTATTATCTTATACTTAGTAGGTATTAATAACAATCGTCAATCACCAGGGCCTGATTGACCAATTTATGGGCCCTGTACAATTTTCAATTTTGGGCCCCAAATTGTCCGTTTCTATACTTCCTTCAATGCCTATGGGATCCCTACACTGCGTCCGACTCATTAATCATTGAGCTTGTTCAGAGGCTCTTCCTCTACTTTGCAAGTCGTATCCTGAAAATCAATCATAATGTTCATGACTATACACTGTCCTACATGAACTATTCTTAGATACTTTGGCCGACAGAAGAGCAGAATGTAAATCTAAAATTACTTCAGACAATTATTCATGGTGCATATGATGCGCTTATCCTGCATACAATTTTGAGTATCTCAACATTCCACACCTTCCACTGCTCCATTTGTCATACCCCTTTCGTACCTCCAATTTTAGTCGCAATCGTCCCATTGACAGGCTATTGCGTCTGGCAAATGAGTCTACCACCTTTTAGTAGGTTAGTTCTAGTTACCAACACTGCTACAATCCAAATTATACTTTATTCTGTGAATTATTTCTATACAAATTGTATAAAAAAAAAAAAAAATGTAATAATAGTGTTTCAAAAATTACTTTTACTTTTGTAAAATTGTCCTAACAGGCATAATTAATAAAAAATAAAAAATAAATAAATAAATAAATGATAAAATACAATGTATGCATATTTTTAAATTAGTTGCATATACATGTGTAGTTAGGTCATAGAATAAAATTGTATTGATAAAAATTTGATTATATAATATTATACAAGAACACTATACACTTTCAATGCGTCTATAATTAATGTTTAATATTTATTCAAGTACATATACAAATTTAAAAGCAAACGTGTTTTTTTAGATTCTGAATGGAACTATGAATGTATTGATTTTACAATGATGTATGTTTTTTTTACATTTTATATTTTTAAATTTTTTTTTGTGTCTGCCATCACCTTTTAGGACAGTAAAAGTGCTTGGATTTTCTTCCACAGTATCTTTTCTGATAGGAAAGTGAATCTAGTTGGTACTTTGGGGAGTCAAAAGTAAAAATTTCCCAGTAGTTTTCAAAAGCGCAGTGAAAAACAAAAGAAAAATTAAGGAAAACCCGGAATTTTCACGCGAAATCTGTTTTCGAGAAAATCGATTTTGGTTTTTGGTGTAACTTTAAAACAAATTACCGTAGATACATGAAATATTCACTGGTTGTTTATATTTACATTTTCAAAATATTTTGATTTATTTTGAACTGTTTAGGGACATTTTTAGTTTCTAATTTTATTAGTTTTTTTCTATAAATATCAATTAAGTTTTATCTGTTGGGCCAAAAAGTGTAAAAATTTAATACAAGGATTCTGAT